AGCAGCAGCAGCAGCAGCAGCAGCAGCAGCAGCAGCAGCAGCAGGAGCAGCAGCAGCAGCAGCAGCAGGAAGGAGAGGAGCAGCAGGTGCTGCTGCAGCAGCTACCCGGCAGCAGCAGCAGAATGAGGTGGGGGGGTTTAGGGAGAGCGATGGATTTTGCTGCAGCAAACGAGCTGCAGCTTGCTGCTGTTCAGTGGTTTACTGCTGAAGCATAAACCCTAAACCCTAAACCCTAAACCCTAAACCCTAGGGTTTATAAACCCTCGAGTTTGTATGCGAGTCTAGGGCTTTCAGACGAACTGCTTAAACCCTAGGCANTAGGGTTTATAAACCCTCGAGTTTGTATGCGAGTCTAGGGCTTTCAGACGAACTGCTTAAACCCTAGGCACACACACACAAACCTCTAAACCCTAAACCCTAAATTAGGGTTTAGGGTTTGGAGACAACACAGTGCTGACATGCAGCTGCAGCAGCAGCAGCAGCAGCAGCAGCAGCAGCAGCAAGAGCTGTTGCTGCTGCTGCTGCTGCGAAGGTATGAAACAGACTCCAAAGTATATAAAGTTTGTTTATTTTATTGATTAGGGTTTAGGGTTTAGGGTTTAGGGTTTAGAGTCCTCGTTACGCTAACCCTAAACCCTAATACTAAACCACAAACCCTAAACCCTAAACCCTAATTACTAAACCCTAAACCCTAAACTCAGCGTAGCATCGAAAGAGGGTTTGTTATGAGTGGCGCAGGACGTCAGTTCGTTTAGGGTTTAGGGTTTAAGGTTTAGGGTTTAGGGTTTGTGGTTGTCTAGGGTTTTAATTATTATATCATGGATTTAGGGTTTAGGGTTTGGCGCTAAACCCTAAACCCTAAACCCTAAAGGGTTTAGGGTTTAGGGTTTGGATTCTCGTTGTTAGTGTTCTATAGCTCAGGGTGTGTAATACAGTTGGTTCTTTTTGGTGTTTAGGGTTTAGGGTTTAGGGTTTACTGCATAGTTTTTAGGGTTTAGGGTTTAGGGTTTAGGGTTTAGGGTTTAGGGTTTTCGCGAGCTCAAGCCCCAAAGCAAACAGCAGCAGGTTGCTGCGTTATTTTTATTTAATTTTGTTTGTCTTTGTATTATAAACAAACATTTATAGTTTATTGATTAGGGTTTAGGGTTTAGGGTTTATTGATTAGGGTTTAGGGTTTAGGGTTTAGGGTTTAGAGGGTTCTGCAGCAGCAGCGGCTCGACGCAGCGAGCACAGAGCAGCACAAAGATGAGGGTTTAGTGTTAGCGTGTTTGAGGGTTTAGGGTTTACACTTAACTTTAAAACCTAGGGTTTAGGGTTTAGGGTTTAGGGCTTAGGGTTTAGGGTTTGTGTTGCGCCGACCCAGGCGTGCGCAGCGAGCTGTCTCAACCCCAGCAGCAGCAGCAGCAGCAGCAGCAGCAGCAGCAGCAGCAGCAACAGCAGCAGCAGCAGCAGCAGCANGCAGCAGCAGCAGCAGCAGCAGCAGCAGCAGCAGCAGCATATACACCAGCAGCAGCAGCGTATGCAGCAGCAGCAGACGTCGCCGTTGCTGCGGCAGCGGCTGCTGCTGCTGCTGGCTACCGTCCTGTTTGCTGCTGCAGCAGCAGCAGCAGCAGCAGCAGATGCAGCAGCAGCAGCAGCAGATGCAGCTAGCTGTGCTTCCTATGGCCAGCTGTCTACGCACCTCTCATCGCTAGCTAGCAGCAGCAAGACCTGCTGCCGCAGCAGCAGCAGCAGCAGCAGCAGCAGCAGCAACAGCAGCAGCAGCAGCAGCAGCAGCAGGTTCTGCAGCAGCAAACGCTTTGTCTTTGTTTTGTATGATGTGAGAAATGGCGAGGGTTTTAATGTGGGCCTCACCCTAAACCCTAAACCCTAAACCCTAAACCCTAAAAACCCTAAACCCTATAAACCCTAAACCCTAAACCCTAATCACGTAGCTCTTCTCTTGCTTCCTTATACTGCTTTACACCTGCATTCATTGCTTCTTATTCTGCTGCTTCTGTTGCTGCTGCTGCTGCTGCTGCTGTTGTTGCTGGTGCTGCTGCTGTTGCTGCTGCTGTTGTTGCTGCTGCTCCTGTTGCTGCTGTTGCTGTTGCTGCTGTTGCTGCTGCTGCTGCTGTTGCTGCTGCTGCTGCTGTTGCTGCT